GAGGCACAATAAGGAGAGGTAAAGCAAAACATGTGGGCAAGAAAAGGAAACTCCAGAGCTGCTGCTGCTCCTTCCAGTGCATGGCCAAACATTCACTTCCTTCAGTGCAGGTTTCTTGGGGTCAGATGTATAGAAATCCTGGACCTCTTCATAGTATGGTTCATTCATCCTCAGTGTTTTATTAACTGCCAGCCACAGAGCTTAGCATTCACTCAGGTTTGCTTACATTCTCTCCCTTTTTCTCTCTGAAGTTTACTACTTGGAAGGAGAGAAACCCTCCAGGCTGCCTCTCTGGTATTTCACGCGTCACATAGCTGAACCCTCCCCTCTGGGCATCTCTTAGATGCTTAGAAGCACTCACAGGTCTAATCCTTACCTCTTGGTTTAAACTGGCTGAGAAATCCTTCACCTAGAAATACAAATAACAACAATATGAACTATGATACCTGTATACAGAACACTCTAATCCCTCCCCATTTACAAAACACAAGTGAATAGTATTCAATTGCTAACTACCATTTTACTCAGCTTTTAGGATGCACCAAACCTGGGGCTGGTTTCATATGGACTGATAAAAGGCCGTAAAATACAACCAAGTTAAGGCAGCAGTTAACCTGAAGTACAAGTAACTTCAGGACAAGAAGTTTTACGAAGATACTGCTATTACCCACAAATCCAGATACACATTCACGGTTAAAATAAGAAGAAATTCAGAAAGAGTGAAGGAGTAAACACCCATTTAAGGCACCAGCACAACCTACAGTTGACTCTAATGGTCTGTGTTAACGCTGTACTTAAGCTCATTGATTTTAGTGGGTTTGATCACAGCTGATGTTAAACTGATTTAAGGACGCCTAAGATTCTTGCCCACTTTCCCCTCTGGTGAAGGATGCACGAGCAAGCCCTGCAGTTAGTGAAGCACGTCAGCTCTGTGCACAGGACAACCACGTGTGTACCGAGACAAGGAGGCACAAAAATACAAAATGTAATCAGTTCTAAGTAATGTTAAGTTTGATGGCTTTGTAATGGAAAATAACTGCGGTGCTTGAAGGCAGTTGACATAGGTTCAGGTCCTTAGGACCTTAGTACAAAAGGTGTGAGAAAAGCAGAGTAGAAGGACAGGACCTGGGGATGGGGAGTATCTGGGACTAGCAGATGTCCAGGGTGGGCACAGATAAACTAACTGATAAGTAAAAGGACAGGATGCTTGGGGTGTTAATAAACCCATTAAGCTGGTGTAAGCATCTACTAGGGAGTATCCCGGACTAGCAGATGTCCAGGATGAGAGCAGTTAAACTAACTGGTAAGTAGGAGGCCGGGATGATTGCTATGTCTGTAATGTTAATTAAGCTTGTTGGGAAAAGTAAACGACCCTTAAAGACCACCACATTTTTGCATGCATGCCGGAAACCTTTTGGAAAATGATGTAATATGCTCAGTGACCATGTAAGGATGACCTGTATAGCAATTCGGGGACACACGTTAGGAGGAGCTATCCCCCGTGTCTCCCGGCGCCGCAATAAAGAATACCTGCTTGTCAGCTTGAAACTCTGCTGGCAGGTTTGTTCCTGGAGTTTTCTCCGAATCAGTACACATTGTACCCAGCCTGTATCAGAGAATGACACTTCCCCGACTCTGCTCTCCCACAGTTTAATCACAGACAAGCTCCTTTATCACTTCACCAAAACCAAATGTTTTCCTTTGACAGAGACATCCCTACTTGCAACAAGGCAACAGAGCACTCCTCACCACTCTGCTGCATCACATGAGTTGAGGCTGAGCAGTGACCCAAAGAAGACAAGTATCTTCACTTCGCAGCTGCAGGAGTGCTCTGTCAGCCTGACGCTGCTAGGAAGAGGCTGTAACATGCACACACTCACTGAACAACAGAAGTTACTAGAGAGCAAGGCTTTGTGATCTGTTCTATTGCTTCTGAGACATCAGTGAGGAATGAGGCAATTACAGTCTCTCCTCCCTGCAAATCTTAAATTACAACAACCAATGCACAGATACACATACAGGATCTATCTGTATGTAGCTTAAAGAAGTCGTAACTCCCACTCCTAGTTTCAAAATGCAACCACCAGTGTAACGTGACAGCTGAGACTACTGTGTGTTTATGGAGTCGTTATTGGGAAACACTTGTTCTAAAAACCTCTGGGGTTTTAACATGCTTCTCTTTTGCTGTGGCTCTAATTTACACCACTGCCAATAATCCTGTCTCTGCTTAGGCATCAATGAACTGGAAAAACACCATTCACAAGACTCAGCACTGTCACGAGATAAAGCATTTTAAATCCAAGTATTTAAATCTGTTGAAGCATCAGCTTATCTCAGTTATTGCTCTCATACCTTGCAAACAATCACTGAAGTTAAGACATTAATGTCCTGTAGCAATTATCTTATATTGAAGCCACAACAGGATCAGTGAGGATATTTGCATACTCCTCATTTGTAACTGCAACTTGAGAATTCCCTATACTTTTAATTCCATTAGCATTACAGAGCAATTTGGGGTAATTGACATTACTAGTTACTGGATATTTCTGACCAGGAGGCAAGAACACTCCTTGCTGCACCCCTGATGAGGGCAGAAGAGCCAGCATAGCCTTAAGCACATTCTGACAATGAGAGAACACACAGAGCTTACTGCTTACATTATCCAAGGACTCCTTGCAGTGGGCAGTCTGGTTTTGCTTGGCCAACAAACCACCTCAGCCATTCTTTAAATGCAACAAAAGACCAGGTGGAACTTCGCATTTACCATAGTGGATCAGAACACCAGTAACAGAAATCCCTGAAGAACTGTAAATTCAAACCAGTTCATAGCACATCAATCCTCTGATTCCACAGGGAGTACTCCAAGGGTAAGGTAGACACTTGTTCTGTGCTGACAATGTGCTTACACTGCTCTGAAGGCTGAGGCAAGTCCTCCCAAGGTCTCCAGAATGAGACAGCTGCTCAGAAAACAGAGAACCTGAGAACCTGGTGGGGAAAAGCAAGAGGGACAGAGCACACGCGGTTGGCATGCTTTAAAAAGCAGCCGACACTTCATTAGCTTGCTTTTCTTGAACATCAGTAAAGACACCCTTAAAACAGGAAAGTACAAGAGCATGGAAAATATGACAGGGAGAGCAGAGTAGAGCTGAAGTGATTTGCCATTTTGTCTTCTTGTTACATTAGGTTTTAATGTTAAAAATACCAGAACAAGAGGTGGGAAAACAAAGGGACAACAGACCAGACACCGGGTCTGTGCAGAAAATGTGATTCCCTGAACAAGTTCCTTGCCTCAGCATAAAGTAGAACAGCAAAGAAAAGACATGCTTTTTGTTTCATGGAAGGGGGTTGAAAATCCTCACAGAAGTTTTACACTTCAGAGGATGAAGACCACAATTTGTCAGAAACCCAAACCTAGGGCAGAATTTGGAGCCAAAGCAGAATACTCCGATCCACTCAAGAGTTACCGTATTCCAAGTACAACACACAGGCTTGAAAACCCAGTATGCTCTGAATAGTTTGCATAAGAAAATTCACTCAGGACTTGTGATGTCCACGTTTGTCTCAAGTGTAAGTACTGTGATGTCAGGGAAGAGCAAGCTTCTTGCAGGACATGAAAGCAATGAGCAATGCTAAAGATAGTTACGTGAAAGCTGGGACTGTGCTGCTCTTCTGTTTGCTGACTGTGGTATAGTAGTTCCAGCACCAGGAGAGAACAGGATCCCTGGCAGCAATCCTGCTTTCAGAGGTCACAAGAGAAAGCTGTGAGCACAAAGGATCAGCAGCTTTTACAAAGACATAAAGCTTCTCTTTGTCCTCTTACTCTCCTTACAACATCCTTCTTACCTCCACCTCAATTTCTGCTTTGTTTCACTTTTCTTCCTCAATAGATGGTTTCTGAGCTGCTGCAAGGCAGACATCTCCTACAGGCAGCTTAAGGGACAGAAGGGAAATGACACAAGAGCTCTCAACAAGCAGCAAGGGCTCTAGCATTCCATTTTTATACTATTTGTGTTAGTTTGTATGATAAAAGCTCCTCTGCATGCCCACAAAGGAACACAAAGATACAATGGAAGGGGAAACCCAAATACCACCCTGCTGGGATGCTCCAAGCCCATCACATGAGTGTCATCAGCCCACCAAAGGTCCATCTTTACAGGTTGAGGAGCAGAGCAGGAAGGCAGTGAGACAAATAAGGACTCCAGGGAATGGATACCCTGCCTGGTTACCTCCCAGGGCTATCCCAGGACAGCTTTAGCTGCACTGTCTAGGCAGGAAACCCATCAAGGCGAGTTATTGGGAGCAACAATGTGAATCATCTTTCAGACTCGAGGAAAGCCGTTGCTTCCCAGGGGTGTTGGGCACCTTATAGGATGCTGGCAATAGCATTTTGAAACCTCACAATCGACATGAAATAGTCAAAGCTCTGTTGAAGATCTCCAGGAAAAAGCAACCCCAACTATTATAGAACAAGGCTGTCTTAGGGAGTCAATACTGCAGACACCACAACAGCACAGGGCAGGAACAAGGAATAGTAGCCTTTTTTGGTACAATATACATGTATGGCAAATAGCTCAATGTTTAAGACACTTTGTCTTAAGGCACATTTCATGAGACCCATATTATCCCAGATAAACACTCAGCTTTTAGAAGCAGAGCTGTACTTATTCATATACTACCACACTATTAAAGACAGCTTTATTTGATTTCTAGAAGCAGTTCAAGCAGTTCATCCACCAAAGTTGTACAGACCTGTCATTAAAACAGAAGTAGTATTTGGAAACCATTTTGTTGTTGTTTTCAAGCAACCTGGAACACCAGTTTGCAATAACATGTTAACATTTGCTTTCCAAACACACCAACACTGCGTATTTCACCTCATAGGCAAGACTGTAAGAAGATTCAGTAAGTCTCTTCCACGAGGTAGAGAAGTTTGCAGTAGTTCTGTGCTGTTTACATTTCATACAGAAATATGGGACTAATCTTAAAGAAATTCCCCAACCTTATCAGTTGTTTTATATTCATTTTATTATAAAATAAATAAAACCCAAAGCATTTCTTTACAGAAATATATTAAAGTCTAGTCCTGAGTCAGTAGGTGCTGCCTAGAAGTTCTAGAATGCCAGCTACAGAAGTCAGTTTCACAAAGATGAAGAAGCACAAGAACCTTAAGGACGCCCTCTAATCAAGGTTGTACAGAAGACTCAAAGACCAGATATTCTCATGTAGATAGGATTGTGCTTATGCACAAACTTCTTCAGTATCCGAAACCTTTTCATCTGAGCTTTGCAGCCTTGATGGGATATGTATTTAAAGTACTTGTCATCTAAGGGGAAAAACAGAAAGGCATTGTAAGTTATAGCATGATATAAGCAAATAAAAAATGATTTAATTGTTTAAATAACATGCAAGCATTTCAGAAGTTTTCAATAACAATTTCAATAATGAAAGGTAATAAAATAATCCAACACATGCCCATGGCAGGGGGTTGGAACTAGATGATCTTAAGGTCTTTTCCAGCACAAACCATTATAGGGTCCTATGCACACCAGACTGTAATTGCAGCTTTAAATAACCTATCCTCATTTGACCCAGAAAACATTCTGGCTGTATAGGACAAGGGGTGATGGGTATAAACTGAAACAGGAAAAGCTCAGGTTAGATATAAGGAAGAAGTTCTTTACTGTGAGGGTGGTGAGGCACTCACACAGGTTGCCCAAAGAAGTGGTGAATGCTCCATCCCTGGGCAGTGTTGAGGGCCAAAAGCTGGGCAGAGCCTTGGGTGACATGGTCTAGTGTGAGGTGTCCCTACCCTAACCAGTCTGTGATTCTGTATCACCGTAAGCTGCATCTTACAAAAAATTTTCTTCGCTTTAATTTTTGCTCTTCACATAGATCAGAAAGTAAAACTGACAATGTAAAGCAGCACTGATTTCTTACATGAACTTACTCTGTTGGAGAAGGAAAATAGAAGCTCATGTTGACACCAATAAGCATAGAAACTGCATTAAAGAAAACTACAGCTGGAACAATTAACCATCTGGAAATGAAAACTGGGGGACATTTGATAACAAATTACCAAAAGAAAAAAAAAAAACAACAACCCCCCCCAAAAAACCTTCCAATATGAGAGATTGTTTTACGAAGCCCAGAAGACAAAGTTCCAGAAAAGGTGACAAGCTAGTTGCCTATCAACCAAAAGCTCACACCAGGGAACAAACCATCATCTCCACATCGTACTCTTTCTCTCAGTGTAACAGCTGCTTTTTGGCCCTGATACTCCACTTGGGTTTTGCAGCACTTCAAAAAAATGCTACTCTTTAGTCATGATCTTACCAAACTGCTGGTGGTTTTCACTCAAAACACCACCACCCCTTTCCTCCTGCACTACACCACCTCTATGGTCCTTACCGACCCTAGTATTTGCTGAGACACTGCCAAAGCTGTGTCCAGCAAAGCAAACCCTCACAACATTCACTCAGGATTGTGTTGTGCATGCTTGAAATTGTGGATTGAAGGTAAAACAATATGACAGATAGTATTGTGACTGCTCAACAAAAACAGATAAAACAGAATTCTAAACCAGGATGCAAAATATGCCTCACTGTCAAATATCAAACCACTTTGAATATTTTTCTCATGTTCTTCATGCTTCAAAGACAATCTTTCCTAGAAGGAAGAAACTGCATTTCTTCCAAGAAGTAGATCAGCTGCATGCCATCTGATTAGGGCTAGAACTAGGCATTAGTTCTGTTCCATGCAATGAAAAGGAAAGAACATTTAGTATTACCCTTGCCCAGTAAGATTCCAGCCACCAGAGCTTTTTCATAGGAAAGGCTTTGATTTTCCTGCCAATTCCTTTTTCCCAAGTAACGGCTAAAATGGAAGGCTGGCCACCAGTCCTTTCTGGAGCTCCACTCTTGCTTGAGCCAGTCAAGATGTTTCTCAGACCTGGAAAAAGGTAAAAAAGTTACAGAAAAGCCTAAATTGGGATCAAAAGATGATTAAGAGACACTGGATTTTATAATCAACTTGCTACAAGTGTCATAAATTGCTAGCATAGGCACACAGACCTTATTCTGCACTATACAGAAACAACTGTATTTAATCCTTGGCAGCACTAATAAGGCAGGAGGTGAGCTCCAGCAATCTTCTTAAGACTTGGCAATAACACAGATTATGGTGTGAAATGAAGCCAGTCTTTACTTGTGTGCCAGTTTGTCAGTATTAATGAGAAAGTTTCTTCAAGTTTGTCAACAGATCAGTAGTATGAAGGGGCTGGATTGTTTTTAAGAAAAGGTTTGTGTTACTCTATGCATACTCAAAGACTAACTTATCCTAAATACTTATTTCAAGACCTGTTAGGCAATAAAGACCTTAAACCAAGCGTTTTGAAATAGAAACTACCTATAACAGGGATCAGATTATCTGAAGTTGCCTCTTCAAAAACAAAACTGCAGGCAAAGTTAGAGAATCATACTGGTTTTACTAGCTCTGTGCAACAACACTCCTAGCTGTAACTCACTAGCTTCTAGACCTTAACAGCAGACAAACTGATGATGGCACAAGGGCATGTAGAGATAGGACAAGGGGGAACGGCTTTAACCTGACAAAGGGGAGATTGAGACGAGATCTTGGGAAGAAATCCTTCTCAGTGAGGGTGCTGAGGCGCTAGCACAGGGTGCCCAGAGAAGCTGTGGCTGCCCCATCCCTGGCAGTGTTCAAGGCCAGGCTGGACAGGGCTTGGAGCAACCTGCTCTAGTGGGAGGTGCCCCTGCCTGTGGCAGGTGGTTGGAACTGGATGAGCTTTAAGGTCCCTTCCAACTCAAACCATTTTGTGATTCTACACTGCAGAAGTGGAGGTAGTGAGAAGACAGAAAAATGGGTTAAACTCTGAATTAATTTAATGAAAATATATAGGGCTGAAAAAAACACAACACCCTGTTCACTGGTTAGAATAATGTTCAGACATTGTAGGCCTTCTAGGCACAGACTGCCCAAGATGGCTGCTTCAGAAGCCAGGGGCCATGCCTGTCAGTGTTGGCAAGGACACATCAATCCCCAGGCGTGTTGGTTCAGCTTTTAAGAATACACTGGCTTCATTCTGTAACAGTTATGATCATCACACAACACACCAGTCTGTATGGTACCAGCCATGCCCTCATTGCAGCCCAGCAACTCTCCAACCAGCTTCAAATAATGCACACACAGTAACAGAGCAGAAGGCTCAATAACTTCCCCCCTCCCCAAAAGAGGGAGATTAGTGATGGGAAGAAAATGCTACCCAAACATCTGAGTAACTCCTCCTGCATAAACCCTTAACCTGGTAAAAAAAAACAACCCCAAACCTGAACAGTTTTCAGCCAATCACAATGCTGGAAATTTGGAATTCTCCTCACTAATTTCTAATTCCCAAATCTTTTCTTCTTCCCAATGAAAGCACACTGCAGTCAAGCACTGCGACTGAACTCAGGATAGGGCACATGTCTGCCCTTCACCAGCAGCAAGAGAAAGGCTAGACTGTCACTATATCAATTGCCCAAACACAGAGACTTGACACAGGTTTTAGAACATTGCATCAGAGACACTTACATTACAATTTGTTTCAGCTGCTTTGCCAAACAGCTCCATGCTTTTACATTCTCCTTCGAGCCAGCATAATCCAAGGCTGCAAAAATAACTTTTAGCCCCAGACGACGTTTTTTCCTCTTCTCTGGAAAAAGATCAGGCTGAATAATAAGTTACTTACATCAGGGTGAACTAACTCATCAGTAGCCAACAAATGAAAGTTCTCCATTCTGTTTCTTACTGTCCCTAACATTGAGGGCTCCCACCGTTGCTTTCTCTTCCAAGAAAGAAGGAATACATCCTAGCTCTAGAGCATAACTCATATCAGAGACACTCTGTCCCTATCCCCATACCTGCTGACTCGGAGAGGCACACACAGGACTGCTCACTTATCTCATGCTACCTTGTTTACAACAGTCACCGTTTCCAAAGCTCGCTACCCAGCGCTTCTAATGAAGATGTTCTTCCCATGGGAAGCAAACACAGTGCCTCTGGAATACTTCAAATCCTGAGGTGCCAAAGTTCAGATGTGGGACTGATAAAAAACAGGTATTTCACAGCAGTAGCTACGTATTAGCAGAGTTCTTAAAACAACACTTGAGCTGTATCACAACAGGTAAAAGTGGGAAAAGTTGCATTTATCAGTATAAATTACTTAAAAAAAAATTCAGGTTGATCTCATTAGCTATGAAAAGTTGGCAAATGTGTCATGAGTGAACAGAAAAAGGTAGGTTTCAGCCAGGAGGTTGGTTTTTCCCCTCCCAAAGAAAAAGCAGAGAAGAGAAAACAATCTTCATTCAAAGACCAGTCTGCTGACCTGCTAGAACATACCAGGTCACAAGCAGACAGCTTGGATTACAACTGATCAGCATGCAAAAAAAGTCTCCAACTGGGAAGACTTTTCTACCAGCTTGAAGATAAAACTCCCTTAAAGAGGAGAAAGAGTTTGTTCTTTGATCAGTAAGAAGACCCATCTCAACTCCTTCAGAAGAGAAAGAATCAATACACTGGAGATTCCAAAAAGGGAACAGGACCCTGGCAAGGGCTTGAAAACAGATGATCTTAAGGTCTCTTCCAACCCAAATCATTCTACGATTCTATTTTTGAACTCCTGGATGTGTCTTATGATAGTTTGCTTTGATCAACCTTCAAATGAAAAAGGCATTTGTTTAAATAAGTTTGTAAATGCCTGCTCACACATCAAACTTAAAGGTTCCTGTGACTGGAAAGTTGGGGGTTTGGGTTGGTTTTAATACACAAAGTACTTCAAAAGGCAGAAAGGAAGCTGCAAAATAATTTCAGAACCTTAGTCTAGATTAACATAAAAGAACAAAGATATTTGAAGACTTACTTGATTTTTGAAGCATGAGATTAAAATCTATCATCAGTTCATGAGAAGGAACAGTATCATGCAAGTTCTGAAAAAGAATACCACAGAACCCAGATGCATTATTTTAATGTGAAAACTTTTGCAGACTTCTGCCCACTCAAGAGAAGCACAGGCTCCAATGTTCTGGGGGCTCTAGTGAGGAAAAATAAGCAACTCAGTACCTTAATGCCTTAATATAAAGAATATCTAGGCTCATCTTGAACATCTGTGTCCTTACTCTGACACAATGGATGAAATACCTTGATGACTGTGTGTGACAAATACAAAATGCTCAAGGAACAGCCCAAATCTAAATCCAGTGTCCCCATTTTGGGAAGCAAAAGTATTTCCTTCCTAGGCCTAGCTCTCCTGTATGCTGCTCTGTGCACTGGATCACAGATCAGTTCTTTGATTTGTCACTATCCTGTAGGTGACACAAGATATCACAATTTTTATGCTACAGTTTAAAAGTCTAAACTTTATGAAGCAGTTCTAAAAGCTTTGCCCTAACGAAAGCACCTTAGTGCCATCAAGTGGCAAAACAAGACTGCAAAATATTGTTTGCAAGAAGCTACTAAGATCAATGAGCAAGCACAAGGAAAGCAGGAATTTAAAAGCAACTGCAGAAAAGGTTAATGCAGGAAGAGCTTGTCTGCCAACATCAGCAGACATTGGCTTCTATTTTAGCTTAAATGCACAGCTCAGTGAACAGAAGCAGAGAAACTAATTGCAATGTGTGGAAGAGCAGGCATCTAGTAACTTCCTCGGCATTGTAAAGATCAAGCTGTAACAGAAATCAGTGCATGTTATGTACAAACCTGCTCATACAGACGTCTGGAACCATGTAAACACACACTCTGAGCTTACTCACTGACTTTAAGAAGTTATATAATGTATCAGTTAAAGGCAAAACAAAGACTTGAATTCAAAGACAGCAAAGGATACTGTTCATTATTTGCATCCCTACCACTAACTTTCCTCTAACCCTCTGCTTCCCACAAAGAACTCAAGAGGGTAAATAACATTACAACTGAACCAAACTCTCAGACCAGCATGCAATAGGAGTGACCATGGACTGCATCTACCACAGAATATATACCTTCAGTGCAGAAATGAGTGATTTCTTTGATTCACCTTGTCTCTTCAGGAACTGATAGAGGTAAACATGAGCATTGGGATTAGCAGGAAACTTGGAGTTGTAGGCATAGTCACGTAACACTTGGCGGGCTTCATTATGGTCTCCGTAGAACTCCAGCAACTAAGAGAAGTTAAGTCTGTTGTTAGTTTACCACATACTAGCAATCAAACTCTCATAACCCATTTTGGGCTGCCACAGAACAATCCAATAGCACAACCTGGATTTAAGAGTGCAGCGTATTAGTTAAGACTATGAGTAGTGTATTTTCATTTTACTTGCTACTCTCATCACACATGAATGGAAATTCACACACAGAAGCTGCTACAGGTGAAAATTCCTTGAGCACGTACTTAATTGTCAAAGAATTACCAGCACTTGCTCACTGGAAAGACACTGAAGCAGCCATGTCTTTAAAGAATGCTCAGTGAGAGAACTTGGCAGCACTGAGCAAAATCCTGTAACATGTGCTTAGAGCAGTCAGCACTTACCAACATTTACAAGGAGTAAATAACTTCAAAAATAATTAAAGATTAACTTCTTTTCTTAATTACAAATTCTAAGCAGTTGTTTTCTATCCTAGCATCACAAAAACAAAATATGCAAGCTGTCTGGCTATTACATTTTCTTGGCAATGCACAGATCATCCTTTTTGTACACTGTACAGGCTCTGCAGGAGTAAACCATGCTCTAAATCAAAGCCAGCGAGATACATGTACGCATTTGCTGTCACCCACACACATCTTAATGAAAGTTAGGCAAGGAAGCACAAAAGGAAGGTATCTGTAAAACATGCCCTTACATCCACATAGCATTTCACAAATTGATCCCAGATGCCAGGTATTTTAATAATCTCCTTTAAGTTCACTGCTGCGTTCCGAAAGCAACTGTGCATTTCCTGTTCAACAGACAAGTCTTCAAATCCATCCTCACCTACCAAAACATGAAGAATGACACTGTTAGCTCTGCTAATCCAAAGGGATCTTGAAGTGTGCACCTAAGATCATAACATTTTGCTAAGCAAGGACTACAGTCAGCTTTTAAGAAGAGAGGCCAGTTTCCTCAGTACTGAAACAAGAAATTGTCACTGCTCTTCATTCAAATTTATTATCACCCGATTTCGACTTATGGGACATGACAGGTAGTATGTCAAGACAAGATGCTACCAGCACAAGGTCAATGAACCAAATTCAATACTTAGTTTTCACAGAAACAAGTACAGATCCAAAGTAACTGATAACACACAGTCAGCAGGTATATGTACAATTAGATGCCACACACAAGTAGCAACTCATATGTCTTTAAGAAACTGAAATTCAAACACTAGTTGTGAGGGGTTTTCCTAGCAGTGAATACATTCCTTTGATCATTACTTCAGGTGATGCTGGGTGGATACAAGAAATGTGATTCGGGGGGGGGGGAAGAAAACGCTTCAGAGCAGCATTCCAGGACACTTCAGGAAAGTGCAAGTCTTTGTGCCATTTCGGTACCACCATTTATGATACAGGATTATTTACCATCCAATTCTGAAGTCTAGTAAAGGAAAAGGTGTCACTGCAAGCTATAGTGTCTGCATAGGCAAGCAAGTTCACAGCTCAATGCAATAACACTTACCGTGCTCTAACAAGATGTTCTTCTGCTTAGACCATTTGTAGTAGTCCAATAGTCCCCTGTAAGCCTGAATCAGTTTCATTTCTTTATCCTGAAAGACTGTTTGCTCTCCAAACCTCCAGCTTTCTGCCAGGGACAGGTTTTGGTAAGCTTCATCTATGAATCCATTACAAAGGAGGTGAAAGGCATGCTCTAGGCAAACCTGCAATTCAAACAGACCATAACACAGCATTTCACAGCACAAATGCAATTCTCAGCAATACAGCAAAGATCTACACAGCTGTGCAGGGAAAGGTGAGACTCATTACTGACAAGCATATAAACTGTTGCAAACACGGGTAGTAAAGTATTTTAATTAGAAAAGCATTTCACACTTTTTATCCGAACATTGTCTTTATAAGGAATTTTGGAGAAAAATGCAGGAATAGGAGAATACAAGTGTCACTGGGGGCAGGGAAATGAGCCAAGAACCTAACTAATGCTTCCTGTCTGAAGATGTTGGAGAAACATTAGTAATTAAAAGCATATTTTATATACACATAATTTCTGCTTCACAGATTAAGGTCCACGAGGCAGAAAGTCACCCATCTAGGTGGTAGATAATGATACTTGTCAAGACAGCAGAAAGCAGTGGCCTCTAAAACCTACTTATTAACAAGTGCTGACCTATTTAAGGTGGCCCAGAAATTACTTGAGGGAATCCAGTTACCTTTGCTGATCTTCCATGTGGTTACCCAACTGCAGAACACCTGAAAGAGGGGTGTCCCACCACCCTATCATGCTCATTAGGCACTGGATATAAGTCTAAACCTCTAGTTAACTCTAACACAGAGCTTCAGTTAAAGCTCTTGAACAAATACAACAGAATGAAAGACAGAAGATTCATCCCAAGCAAGAAACAGTCAAGGAAACCAAAACAATACAGGTTTGAATGAGCCACCACAGGGTGTCACCCGTGGGTGACACAGGGTCCACAGTATAAGGCCTATTGTTTTGTACACAGATTAGCTACTTGAAAAGTTAATGGGTAGCAAAAGCAAAAAATTAAGTATAGCTGTTTAGTCAGCATCACAATGACCAAATTAAGGACAAGAAGCTAAGCTTAGCAAGTGTTAAAGTATAATTTGATGTTACTGGGGTACACATGAAAGAATTTAACTGTTTCAAATTCAAAGATTAAAGGATCTAGGCACTTCTAAGGACGGACTACACATCTGTGATCAAACACACAGACCAAATGAGATACGGTTAGGTATAGAATAACCCTTAAAATATCATGCAATTGATAACTCAAATGTGTTCTCTTTTGGTTTTGATGCTATTGTCAGCAATGTATTTCAAAAGAGAGATTCAGAAACTAATAATTAAGTGATCAACCAAACGTGGAAAATCAACATGTCTGTATTAAATACACTCACCTTCAAATACCTTTTTACTCCTGAAACCTTCATCTGTTCCATGAAAGAGTTGAACTCTTTCACGCTGCTATGGGAATGATAGCACAAAATTTCAGTTCCTATTCTCCAAATCATCTATGAATGGGAAGAGAGAGATTCAGAAACAACCTTGGTACAAAACTGGCAAGTCACCACATATACAGTGTTATCATATTTACAGTTACTGTAGCACATGAAAAAGATGCGCATTTGAGTTGCAAATAAAAAATTCTAAGTATTATCTACTGCTGTAGTAACCTACATACTCACCAGTAGGAATTTTACAGTCATTCAGAGGGTGCTTCACAGTTGATCATTACAAATGCAGCTCTCCAGCAAAGCTTATGAGAACTGCAGCTGTCAGAAGGTTCCCCTGATGCTACTAAAGAAGTTATCTTTTCCTTTGATATGATTCCACTGAGACTATACATAATTCTTTGAATTAAGTAATAAAGATTATTTCCAATTAGATGTAATTTCCCATCCACATGCATTCGTATTTTTAAGGTCTGCCTACACAATGTAACCAAATATTACAGCAGACTAGCCATATCCAAGTACTCAGTCTGATCAGGCTCTGATCTCTTTCCTCCTGCTCTTATCTCAGTACCTGCCAGCTGTTTTGCAAGTACTGGAGGAGGTGGTAAAGTCCTAAATAAGCCACTAACTTTCCAACAGATTCTGTCTGATGGCATGCCAATGGCAAACACATTTACTGCTTTTCTGGTTTAGAGGACTCCTTTAAGATGACTTCTCACAGATGTGCTCCTGATGGAGGTAACTTATACCAAGCCAAGTCAGGCTTTTTTTTCCCCTCTCTCAGAAGAGAGATCAGACAGCACTGCAGATTCTTAGTGCCCCTAAAAGTGAGCCCTCAGCAGAACTCTAGCTCCAGCAAGACTGGTTAACCCCACAGCAAAAGCAGGCCTGTGCAGAGGCACACCTGTGGTAAGTTGACAGCATGGTGCCTGGAACACTACTGGGGATGAGGGCTGGAGGACTTCCTGCAACCTGCCATCCATGAGTTTCTACATCAGCACCAGAATAATTGCTTATTCGGGTTTGGAAGCTCCTTTTTTTTTTTTTTTTTTTTTAAGAAAATAGCTTAGTTTATAAAAGTTGCCCAACTTTTCTGGCTTTATTTCTAATACTTTTTAAAACAGAAGAAAATGAGCCTGAGATTAGCTAATTTGGATGTTAGTCCTGAAGTATTATACATGATTTTTGCAAGTATTTCTTCAACTGCAAAAGAACTTTGATAAGGACATTGGCTTACCTCTGATGGACTCATGTATTCTGTGGAATAGTCTTTCTCTAGGGCCTCAATATAGGAGATCAGAAACTCTGCAGCCCTTTCCCACTGCTTCTGTAGCAGGGCATCCTGAATGTAACTTAAACACACTGCCTTGCTCTTCTTGAAGCTTATCTTGTGTTCATGAGAAAATGCTAAACAAACAAACAAATCAACTAAGTCCACAACTGTCACAGCCCTTATTCAGATAACAATGCACCTATCATTTCAGTCTCCCTCTAGTACCATTTTTCTCAGGCACTACAGAAAGTGCTCTTCAGCTATCTGGCTTTTGAATTAAAGACACCTACTAATCTCCAGGGCAGCAAGATTATGGTTAGAGCTGAAAATATAATATGAAAAGGCATTTTCCTCAAGCAGCACACAGCTGCAGACATTTGAAACAGTGAAGAGCCAAATACTACACACTGCTGCCCTACCACAGAAGATCATGGTGTCTTGATAACATCACAGCAGTTTGTTATATTTTGGGGACCACTCTCTTCTGTTACTAATCTTCATCTAAATGTGCTGAAGATTTGCATGCACCCATACAAACAGGCTACTCCAGTACCAAAGGCTAAGCAGTTCCCACTACATAAATGTGGAGAATTCTTCTCATTTGAGTACAAGGCTAGAAAGAAACCACTTCACCTTTTTACACAGATACCAGTTCCAATGTGTGTTATAGCACAAAACTGAAACATCTTTTCCACATCTGTATGCCATGGTCTAATGTGCCCCCTACAATGCTCAAGCCTCAAGAGCCTTCAGCAAAGGACATGCAAGGCTCACTGAATCACCTAGATGCTATAGGCAAAGGATAACTTAAAACACTGGTTTGGAGCAGTTTTATTGCAGTGCATTCTACAAAACTACCTGTAACCAACCTACCTACAGGTTTAGTCTTCATGCCTATTTCTAACCTTAAAGGTTTCAAAGTACTAATAAAATAAACCCCACAGTAAACACCGTAAGATTAAATACAAGGCGCATAGCTAATGCGGGTAAGTCAGAATCCCATACTGGTTTGGGCTGGAAGGGGCCTTAAAGCTCAGCCAGTTCCAACCTCCTGCCACGGACAGGGACACCTTCCTCCAGACCGGGTTGCTTCAAGCCCCGTCCAATCTGGCTTTGAATACCTCTTGCTGGGCAAGTTGCTGAGAAGTGACACGATGTGGATAGGTCTGAGGTAAAGCTTCACTACAAAGCCACTCTGAAACACCTTGTCCAAAGGCTTTGCAGCCACAAAGCTTCTGTCATCAGCCACCTCACGAACCTTTACTTTACTAGCAAGCGTTCATGCCGCCTCCAAGCGCCTCGCATGGGGAACCCTAACCCCTTCCTCAGCGGCAGACCGACGAGTAGCGCGAAGGGCAGGGAGCAGGTCCGCCGCAGCGGAGCGTTCCTCCCTCAGAGCCGGAGCGGGGCGGGCAGAGGACGGGGAGCCGCGGCAGAGCGGGGACAAGCGGGAGCCGTCGGGGCCGCGCTTACCGGGCTGGTAGAAGTGCGGCGACAGGAAGGGCAGGTTCAAGGGCGGCAGCAGGGGGCTCCCGGCCGGCAGGACAGGGCTTTTCCCCACCCTATCCTCCCGCAGGAGACCATTCGCCTCTGGGGCGGCGGCCATCTTTGGCTCGGGAGGCAGACCTCGCCACGACGGGAGCTACCGCAGCCGGACACCAGCAGCCGGCCAATCCCTAGCAGGGCTCGGTTTAACAACGGCCGCCCCGCGCACGCTGGCAGGAGGAGCGTCTCTGCCGCTATAAAGGTGGGGTGGGCAATGCCGCCGCCATGATGGAAGAGGGATACCTCTGCAGGCGCCTGCGCGACGCGAGTGGGAGTGGCGGGCCGGGGGCCTGCGGTAGTGCCGGTGGGGTCAGGCAGGGCCGTGCTGCGGCCGCCGCCGCTTCGTACTTGCCTTTGGTCTCAGCAAAGGCGTCGATCGCCTTCAGAGCAGGCCTTGGGGGAACCTGGTGGGGGTGCTTTCAGGGTCGGTGTGAGCAGAGCGGCTGGTGAAGCCGGGCTCACTTCGGTCTGTGGTGAACTGATGGTGCGCGCGGGTCTGTCTGCACCCGGCTGGAGCGGGGCTGAGGGCGGTAAGGAGGATGCAAGCTTTCCAAGGATAAGAGTGTCAGAGCGGAGGGGCTGGGAGCTCTCCAAGCCGAGGAAGCACAGCGGGGAGCTGGCTTCTTTGCCGCTGGTGTAGGCGAGATGCGCTGGCACTGCTCCGCGTGTGGAATAAGAAGTAGCGAAGGGTGAAGCAGGAGGGATCAGAAACATGGGAGGCTATCTGAGTGTGCTCAGTAGTGCGGCAGAGCTGCTTAATCCTACAGGTAGCATGATCAGAGGGTTACTACAGCTGTGAGTAATGCAGTGGTCACTGGAAGTGGTAGTTAACCAGATCCTGTGATCACTGTTCCCATTAGCTGTGTTGGTACTTTTAATTCGTGACTTAAAACATCATGTTGACAGAAGGAAAGGTTTCTGAACCAAAATCTTGTGCATTGCAGAGCAGCAATATTGTCTCTTCTCCCACCTGGATCTTGGAAGTCTGCCTCAACCACAGAATCTGTTTTGGACCAAACTGTGCTGAACATGTTTCTTTAAATGACTTTTGGCAACTGGCTTTGCCATGGAGTGCTTTGGTATGTGTAAAGTCCAGGGTTTGGAGCAAGAGTTTACAATTGGGTTTGGTGTTTGTTGTTTGGGTTTGGTTTTGGTTTTTTTTTTCAGAATGGCCCTGCTATGTGAGAGTGAGTAAATAATAAACTGGCTCAGATTAAAGGTTCATGTAATCCAGTATCCTGGTTCAACTGTAATCGATAACGAGTGTCAGGGGAATAGTACAAGGCAGAACAGTTCTTTGTAGCATCTAAATATTTAACCTCAGTATCATACTTTGACATTTAATAATCCTATGTGGGGATACTGGAAGTCTCCCTTTTTGTTTTGTTATTAATCCTGTGTTCTTCTAGTATATGATGAGTTCATAACTATTTGTTATTATTAATTGAAAGTTAACTTAGTTAACTTGATGATAAACTGTTACATGTCACCATTTCTTTAACAGCATCACCTTCCTTATCTGTCCTTTATAATTTTGTACCCCATGAGTGTCTCATTGATCAGTGGTGTTCCCCAAGTGTGGTGTCAGTTCCTACGTTTCTGACTTTTTGTTAGGTCAGTGCCCTGATCTCACGGATACCCAGGTCACCACACTTTATTTTTTTAAAGCTCTCGTGTGCTTAGAAGCACGTTTACATTTGCCTTGTTATTTTTATCTTCTTGTAACATGCATGATTGAGAGTCTTTGCTGATTCTTAGGTAAACTTAGCCAAGTGATGGTGCTAATGGATGTCAGTTTCTTTAGTAGATACTTCAGTATAGGGGAGGTGGGAGAACAGTTTTGTAACTGAGGACACACACAAAACGTTGATTCTTCATGTAGAGCAGGACTACTCTCATACTTGAATACACCTGTTTCCAAGACTGGAGTTGAAGACTGAAGGACATTTTGTCTGAAACACCTAAATTGAACTAAGCAAAGCATTTCTTTCCTATGTCACACCCTGGGAAAGCTGGGTTTGTTAGTAAGTGGGTATATTGTTACTATGAAATACTTGAATTGTAGGGGATACTGGACAGTTGCAGTGGTAAACTCGTGTATACATACTGACTGCAAGCTACCTGTTATTGCACAATAAAGGCAGTGACTTACGCAAGCACTATGTGATCTTGTATCTCTTCACATCTCCCTTTCTTGCCTTCATCTTTATGACCATAGACACCGCTACTTTTTATCTTGGTCTTTTAATAAACATAATCTGGATAACATGATACTAATATGAGTCGGCTGTAGGAAATGGTGGCATATCCAAGGGACATGGGTTGGTGAGGTATGAGAGCTGTTCATTGCAGCACTGAGGAAGATACCCGTTTTTACCATGATGCTTTTTCATCATATGATTAAAATGAAACCCTCTAGATGGGGGTTGAAATGAAATGCTTATGTATATTTCAGAAGTTATGTAGCAGTAACCAACTTTGGATCCTGGGCCCTGTATGATTGGGCTGTGGAAATGAGAGTATGTAGCACAGAAATCAATAATCATGAAGATGCAAGAACAACACAAGCAGTGCTTCTAATGCAGTTAGCAGTGGTGATAGCTAACTCTTGTGGTAGATCATTAAAAGGGCTCTTTAAAACAAAACCTGAGCTGTCTGCAGCTGTCCTTTAACATACATGAAAAAGCAGGATCCTTCACCTTGACTATCAGCTCTGCCAAGTGACTGTTGGTTTTGGGAGCAGCTCCAGCATTTGCCCTTTGGAGGGTGGAAAAAGTTAAATTTTGGCCATTTGATAAACCAGCAAGAAGACTCCTATGTTACCTACCCCTTCTTGGCTGCACCTTTTATTCTCTTTGTCTGGTCAGTGCCTGTGCTGCATAAGTAACATGGGTCTGAAAAAGAGAACGGAGGAGAAGTTTTGTCTAGTTTTGTCCTGTGTGTGACCATTTTCTGCCATTTCAGATCTCTGAAGCAATATAGGTAAAGTGGATGTGGAGAAGAGGTAACTGTAAGTGCAGTCATGCTTGCAAAGAGCAGTTCTTTTGCTTTGCAGACATTAAAACAGCAGCAAGTGGGAGCTGAGGGTTCAGCGGAGCAAGAGCAGGCCTGTTGGATGCTGGGTTTTCTTAGCTGGGTGCGCAGCCCTTCGTTTGCCTCTGCTTTCCTTGGTGCTCGGCGGGTGAGTGAGGCCGTACACCCACCTTACTACTGGTTTACCTGGGCATGGTGGGGAGAGATGACATCTTGCTTGGTAGCATCCGTCCTCTCACGGGGAGATCTGAACTTCTTGGTGTGGCTGCTGGAGCGCAGTGAGGTGGGTGTTTGGGTCTGTAGCATCCTCACCCTTGCGTGTGGTGAGGGGTATGCAATGACACCTTTTCTGCACCGCTGGGCTATTCTTGTTACCTCAGCGACCCTCTGCTAGAGAAAGCCGCCATGAAAGAGCAAGAGCGAAAGGCAGGACCTTTCCCCTCACCGCTCCGGGCGGGGACGGACCCTGTGCAATACCACAGCTGGGCGCAGTCGGCGGGGGTCCGGTTTCCCCCGGGAGGCAGGGAGGGGAGAGGGGAGGGTCCGTGCGCTGCCCTCCTCCCTCCGCGGCGGCGGGGCCGGCTTTGGCCCGTCCCTCCCCCGCCACATCGCCCTCCCGCCGGCGCTGCTGACGTGTCTGCTCCCTCCCCGCCGCCGGCGCCCGCCAACATGGCCGCAGCCGCGCCGCCGGACCCCCGGCTGCTGCTCGCCCTACTGCTGCTCCTGCCTTACACCGCCGCCGCCGGGCCCGGCCTGGGCCGCCGCTTCGCCGAGCGGAAGCGCTGCGCCGACCCCGAGTGCAGCAGTGAGTGGGGGCAGCGGGGCCGCGCCGCAGCCGGGGAGGGCTGAGGGGGTGTCCCGGGGAGGGCGGAGACCCCGGCTGGGGTGCGGGTAACCGTTGCCCGGTCCCCGGCGCTCGGCCCGGCCGCCGCCGCCGGGAAGCTGTTACGGGAATAGATGCAGAAGCCGCATGCTTCGTGGAGGCGCTTCCCAAAGCTCCCCCCCACCCCGGCTTTGGCACGGAAGTTGGGGAGAATCGGGGAGATGGAAAGGCGCCTCGTCCCTCTTTCTCCTTCAGACCAAGTTTTCAGCTCCCCTCAGCTCCTTCGGGCTTTTTATTCTTCTCTGCAGACCCCTTCTGTAATAAACCCGCTCTGTGGGTGGTGGTGATGCCTTCCAGGGGTCATTTCAGGGCTGGTTCTCTAGGACACCGATGTCATCTTTCACCCCGTCTAATTTAATATTAATAATTAGCTTCATAATGTGCTTCTGCAGTGTAATTCTCAAGTGCTTTGTCAAACGCTTGCCTTGATCAGTGAGTTTGCCTTATTCTTTGAATAATCTCTTATTTGTTTTTAATAATTTCCTATTTTAGTTATACTTTAAGTTCTTATCTCTTCACCTAATCTGGAAAATAGGAAAACACTGCGTGTGGGGAGGTCTGGTTTTCTGCCGCTTAGCAAAGACCCTTTTCACTAAATGGTTTTCTTCTTGCTGTTATTTTGAAGTAATACTGTTCTTTTTCGCGTTCTTATGCAGTGTTAATGTGCCGAGGGAAGGCAATGCAGGATTTTAAAGGTCCAGATTGTCGCTTTGTAAATTTTAAGAAGGGAGAAGCCGTTTATGTATATTACAAACTCATAGGAGAATCAACCGAGCTTTGGGCTGGAAGTGTAAGTACTGTAAAGCATTTGTTCTACTTGCTCTTCTTGGTGTTTACTGGTCATCTTTTTGTCCTTCCTTTTGCCTTGTAGGGAAATGCGTAAGGTTTTGAACATAGCTAAATAGCATAATGAATGCCATTTTGTCTTGAGACTCGTGTGAAATGGGATGTGGTTCGATAAAACCTAAAGCGTTAAGTGCTGTGGAAAATGGGCAATGCTAATGTGTGCTAAAAACTGTTAGAAAACTGCCTTTGTACTGAAAAACTCCATTGCAACGCTGTAAGTGTTGGCCCATAAGCCTGCCTGAAAGCTGAGCCTCCCTTCCCTTGTGTTTACCCGTGACGCGGTCTCATCCTGTGTGCTG